ATCTTAATCTTTGGGGTTGTATAAATGTAAAAAAGGATAATTAATTTTGTTTTTGGAGAGATTAAAAATGTCTAAATTGGAATGCAACTTTTACTTAAATGGAAAATGTGAATAAAAATGTATGCATACATCATAGTATTAATTGTGTTTATGAAATGAATTCTTGTGTAAAGAAAGATATTTAAACAATATTATGTTCATCAGAAGGGATTAGTAAAATAACATGTTTATCAATTCCAAATTAAAAATGTTAATGGTTAAATTCATGTATTGAATTTACTTAATTATAATAACGATAATGTTCAGATTTCAAAGATGTATCATCATATGTTTGTTAGATGATTCCTAATTTATCTTGTGTATATAATAAAGAAAATAATAGTTGTATTGATTTTAAAAATGATGTTGTAGGATTAGGAGTATCAAAATTAGCATGTATTTAAAATAAAAGTATTCCAACATATTGGAATGGAAATATTTGTTAAGAATTAATTGAAACTATTGAATGTGATTCTTAATTAATTGTTAATGAATATTCATGTCGTAGTCAAGTTTAAAATACTAAATGTATTTATGATATTGATAATTATTAATGCACTAGTTTATTTAATATTTGGTCATTGAAATGTAATACTTTAGGTTTAAATTCATTGGGTTGTGTATCAGTTTAACAAGAACCATGTATTTTTAAAGATAATAAATGTTAAATATTTCGTGAAATTTAAAGTGTTTGTATGTTCTTAAGTTAAGTAAATTCAAAAGTATGTGCATCTATTATAGATTAATATTGTGCATATGATCCAATTAATTATAAATGTTAAACATAATTAATCACTTAAGATTATTGTAATATAGAAGGAATAAATAAAAATTTTTGTATTAGAAAAGAAATTTGTATGTGGAATCAAGACAATTTAGATTGTAAATGTAAATCTATATAAGAAATTGATTCTTGTTAATAATCTGATATATCAATATCACTACCTGAAATGATAAGATTGTCAGTTTTATTAATTAAAACACATCTAATAAAATTAACATGACCTTCTAATTTTTATTTTCATTCCCATAAATTATTTTGATTAATTGACCATATGATTACTTAATTATGTGCACAGATTATCAATTAATTTGTAATCTTCATAAAACTTAAAGCAAATATAACATTTTTATTTGTATGTTCTGCTAAAATTTTAAGTTGCTTTAATATTCCAGCTTTGAATTCAAATACCTTTATTGTTTACTACATGAAGCAGCCAATAACTAATTGTCTTTATTAATAGCTATGGCATAACAAGGTTCAGATTATTTAATTGAAGCTTTTTTATTCAATTCATAAATTAACTTTTTTGATTCATTTTACTGTTGATTATTTTAAGTAATTTTGAAGATATTTCTATAATATTCAAATTACCAAATTTTAGTTTGCTAAAATTCTTCAAAACAGCTAAGTTTATTAAAATAGTATTTAATTTTTTTTAGTTCATTTCTTTCCATTAATTATATATCTATTAAATAGATTGATACTGAATTTCAGAATTTAATTAACACAAGTTTAACAACCTAACCTTGAGGATCTTTGTGTGTTTTAAATTAAATCTAGTGCAATGATTCTATCCTAATGTTATTCACAAATTAGATTAATCTTCTTTTAATAATTTAAAATAATACAATAACATCTTTTTCTTTTATTTTCCATTAATTTATAACAAGGCCAAATTAAATATAGTCTTTTATATAATAAAAATGCATTCATTTCGCTAAAGTAGTTTCTTTTAAAGGAATAAATAAATTTAGTAGTTATTTGCTATTTTAAGTTAACCCAAGAGTCTCTAGCATCTTGATCATTTGATATAAGATTTTTTTGTTATATTGTGTTGAATTCTTCATATAAATCATTTTAAAGATGGTAGGCATTGATTTTTAAGATAATTCTTATAACATTCTGATTCTCTGTTGTATTATTTCAAATTTTTCTACATAGAAATTTTTCAGATTTTGAACATTTTTTTTAATCGAACAAAATAATTTTAATTTTCTTCTTTCAATTATTGTGTTTCTTTCTTGAGATTGGCTTTTATGTCCTCAAATGATGTGTTAAAATTTATAAATATTTAAATCAGTTTATCTCCTTAATTCTAGAAGTTTATTTAAAGCTCCTCAACTTCGATTCTTTCTTATTAATTTCTTCTAGTCAAATTTTAATCAACAAAATCAGATTTTTTTAAATTACATAGTCTTAATTTTAATAATAACGATATGAAATAACTTAAAAAAGGTTGTGAATAAAAAATTTTAATTAAAACTATTCAATATTAATTTTTCATTAGAATCCTATTTATTTTAGGAGAGCAATGCCTTAACTAGACATATATATATTTAACTCTAGTTTGGATGTTATGTTTTTATTTGGCTAGATTTTTTCAATTTAATTTAGTTCTTAATTTGACTTTGATTCACATTATGATAATTGTAACGAAAGAAATTTTTTACAAGATATTACTTCTCTAAAATATATCCTCAATATTCCATAATATTTACAAACTTTTTTAGTGTTTTTACAAAAAATAATAACTAAATCATTTCTTTAATATGGTATTTTCAGGATTAAGGGCAAATTGGTAATGAAAATAATTTAAAACCTATATAAATTATTCTAACATTTTTATCAAAAAATATGAGGTTAATTTTTTTCAGAAACTAGTTTATCAGATAAAAAATTTAGAGTAGAAAAACCAAAAATAGTTCCAAATTTCTATCCATATCTTGAAAATAAAATTAATTAATGAAAATTAACAATATTAAATTGTCAGATATATTAATATATTTTTATCTTTTTCAATAAATTAATTGGAGAAATATTAGTAATAAATTAAAATTAATCTCATTTTTCATAATATTTTATTTTGATTAGAGAATTTCAGCTTTCTAAATCAATGTGAAGTTTTACTTCTATGTAACTATTTAACTACTAATTATTGATTTTTTGGTTGAAAATGAATAATCTCAATTCTTTCAAAAAAATAATTTTTGAAATAATGGTTCATCAGATTCTATTTAATAATTTTCCTCTACTTTGATCATTTTTAAATGAACCTCCTTTGTTATACAAAATAATTTTTAAGTAAAAAATTAATAAAAATTTGATTTGATGATCACACATTTATTACATTAGAATTTTGCATTTAATTTTCAAAATTTTATAATTTTTATGGATCTAATTTAATTTATTAAAATAACTATTTAGGTTTTGATTAGTTAGATTAATCCTAAAGTTAAATTTATCAAATATATAAATTTAGCTTATAAATAAATAAAATAGCATTCTTATTGATTTATAAGGATCATTTAAAAACATCAAGTTAATAGAGGTGGGCAAATTATCTGAAGGAAATTGTCAAATCCTAGACAAATCTTTATGCTATTTTTTATTCATAGAATAAGGAGAAACCAAATTATAATTATTGTAGTATCCTGTGAAGTAGGGAAGATTCAGAGGAACTAAGGATTTAATTCAATATTGAATCATGTATTTATCTGAGCTTAGTTACTCCTTCATCTTACTAGAGATCACATTGTTAGACTGAATAAATTAAAGATAAATTATGAAGTCTTTAGAATTTAAAAGATAATTTAAATAAAATGATTTCTTCTTTTTCAAATAAATTAATAATTTTATCTCTCATAATATTTATATAATTCTGCAATTATCTAAAGTTTGAATCGCCTTTTTTTGTTTTTTAATATCCCATTAACGAAAAAATTACAATCTAAATATTTCATTAATTTTATTGACAGTGAAAGATCTTGCAAATCTTATAACATAAAGAGTTTTGATATTATATACAGAAGTTAGAATTGATAAGTTTTTCTATTCTTAACAAGGGATAGTAATAATAAATCATCACTACAAATTAATTAGACCTGTAGTCATATTGGAATTCATTGATTGCCTTCTTTTAATGAATTTTTTGAACTCAGAAATACAGTTTATTTGGAATATCTATGGATATTTAATATTTTACAATTAATTATTTTAGTTTAATTTCAAAGTTTGTCAAAGTATTAAGATAGATTCTTTTTACTTCCTGTAAAATTTCCATTAATATCATAATCAAAGTAGCCGACTAGTTGAATAGAAGTCAATTGTTTAATTTTATATTTATAAATAAAATAAACCAATTTGTATTTTGACTGATAAGATTACTTTCTTTAGATTAAAATTCATTACTCAAATTGAAAATTTTGTTGTTTCTGCAAATAATTTAATGTCCATAAAATAAAAATAAAATTGTTAAACGAAAATGACCCCATAAATTACAAAGTGCTCATTATCATAATAATTCATGGCTTCATAATCAGGTTTAAGTATTTATTATTTTTGATAATTGCAATTATCATGTTATCCTTAATTTGTCTTTCTAATTTTTAATATTATAATTTACCTATCCTATTCTGAAGTCTTGATATGATCTGACCCAAGGTCCATTTTAGTGATAAGAAGGATATGATAGGATTATCAATTAATATAGATATTCTATTGAATTAATTCTAGAAGACATTTGTGTTACTCATTTAACTCTGTTTTAAATATTTTTTTAAGATATCTTGTTCTACAGTCCCTAAGGATTGAACTAATGGATTTACATACATTCTTGTAAGCTTGAAATTTCCAGCTCACCTAATTTAATAATAATCTATCAATTCTTTTCATAGAAAGTACTTAGATCATTTGTGAATTCTTATATTCTTACCAATAACAAATAGTTATTTCTCTTCATAAGTTGGTTGAGATTTTGCCTATCGGTCTGACCTGATCTAGAAATGATTTCTATTATGACTAATCCAGCATAATTCATATTCCAAGTAAATACCTAACTAGGATTAATCAATTTCTATTCACTTTATAATGAACTTGATTATAATTGTATTAATCCCAAGAGATTAGGATATTTAAGTTATCTATTTTTTTCATTTCCCTCATACAAATTGAAGAACTTTTAAATTCTTATTGACTTAGTAAGTCATGGTCATATTAATTCTAGGAGAGGAGATAAGTCTTCTGCACCTTTAGACACTTCCATCACCTGTCTATGACTTTTTGATTAAAGTTATTATGCTTTGGAGTATGTATCCATAACTTCAATCAATGAAAAGTTAATGGATATATTTTGGGAACGGAAATTAAAAATATTAAAAAAAATTATTTAAATTGAAATTGATCCCATATTTTGGAGATTATTTAAACCTATTGGAATTTAGATTAAAAGAAATGGAAGTCACACCCACTTATATCTAAACGTGATTAATTAAAGGAAAAGAAAACAATCTTTTAGAGTAAATTAGATTTATTGCCTAGAAAACAGGTGCTTTTTGGGATTAATATACCAGTTTAAGGATAATGAGTAAAATTTAAATATCTTAGATTGAATAAAAAATTTACATTTATCAATAATAATAGAAAAAGTTTATGTTTGGCATCATAAAAATAATATGAGGTATATTAGAATAGTTAAACATTAAGTTGTAGTTAACATATAGGCTTATTAATGTTCATGATACTGGAGTTTTCAAATCAGGCTCCAAAATTGTATTTAGTTAATGCATTACTATACTGTTAAAAGATGCATCCAACTAATAAGATTGAATGAAAGAATAATTAAAAGTGGCCTATCAAATTGAGTTTTTAAGCCATTTGATAACTTAGGTGAATTGCAGATACCAGTTACTTAATTACTGTTGAAAGAATACTAGATAATAAAAGGATATTGATATGACTCTAGAAGTTTTTGAAATAGAAAATAAAACACCCAATGCTTTTTTAAAGTGATAAAGGAAGAAGAAGGTAGAGCTTGAGATAGCATAATTAGAATAAAAGGAGAAGATAAATCTTTTTATTAGTAGTTGGGATGTTTGATTAGGATAGACTTGACTCTATCTTGAATTGTCTTGAACTTCCGAGATATATAAAGACAACAGAAGTTTAAACTAATCAACACCAGTATAAACTCCAATGAGGAGTCTTACCTAATACTTTTATGAATGGAAATTAGGATCAGCTAAGAGTTAATAAGAATTATTGGACTATCATCAGAAAGAAAATGAAATAAAAACAAATTAACTTGGATCTTGAGAAGTAAAGAATTAACGAGGAATAGTTTAAGTAGCCTATAATTGTTTAAGGGATAGAGATGAATAAGTAATATTATTATTTTATTTTTGATTAGAAATTCTCATATCTTAAAGAATTTATAGAATAGAACTAAGTTAGAAATAGACCTTATAAATCTACCCTAGAGATTAAACTTTTAAAATACATAAAAATTTTTCTTTGACAATTAAATAATCCCCTACTCAGAAGATAAGTAGTAGGTTTAAAGAGAGTTTAATGAATACTTTTTGAATCAATTTTAGGCTAGCTGTATTGTAGAAAGTTGCAATATTGAGCAAGATTATGGAGATTTAAGGGGTAAATAGAAGGAGGTATAATATTTTAAAACAGTGTATAAATTAATATAAGTTTGATATTACTGAAGAGTTTAAACTATAATGATTCTATGAAACATTTATTACGACTAAATACTGTAATTCTGCAATAGACTAGTAAAATGAAAAAAGTTTCATGTTTGATAAAGAAATCAATATTATCTAATTGTTCTTTAGTGAGTGTTTTAGATAGTATTAAAATATAAAAAAATGATTAAAATTTAAATGAAAAAAATTTATTAAACTATAATAATAACTTCAATTATTTATATAATCGAATTTTTCTTTATGTATATAAAAAAATTTTCAGAACAAAATCCTAATCCCATATTAATTTACAAAATAAATAATAATATAATGATTTTTTAATTTTAATATTCATCGCTTCAATTTATTCTCGCAAAAATCTAATCTAATAAGCTAAATAAACTCTTTTAGTTTTTTGTATATTGATCATTTGGGTCTATCTTTAATGATTTTTCATAATATATCAAAGCTTCTTTATATTTTTATTAATCTTTTAAACAATCTCCTAAAAATTAAATATATAATAGGGACCTTTAATTTATAGAGAAGGGGTATGTTGTTAATTAATAGATAGTGCTTAATCTATAAATTATAAAGATTGACTATATTTTTTCATTAATCTTACATTTAATTATATTCATACTAATTGTGTAAACATTCACTTATTAATTAAATTATGATTCAATATACCTTTATTACATAAGGATATAACATGCTTAGGATCAATAGCTAATGCTTTTTTCACCCATTTGATTGCTTCTTCATATTGATTTAATAATCTTAAACAATCCCCTATTAATTATTTATTATTTTCACCTTTACACCATAAAGAAATATGGTTATTTGGATTTTATGATATTGATTTATCTAAAATTACAATGGCCTATTCATACTTATCTTCTTAATATAATTAATAACCTAAGTTAATGATAATATATAATTAATACCTTTTTAATATAATTCTTCAGATATTTGAATACAATTATTATCATTTTAATAATAATTAAATGATGATAATTATAATTATTGATATAAATTATTAAATGAATTAGTTAATTTTTTAGTTTATTCTAAGAAGATTGTTGTAATTGATTGTTTATATTCATTAAATTTGATTGTAGAATTCAAGAAATCATTTATTTATTAAGAATTCAAAAGTATTAATTTTTGTTAATATAATTAATATTTCTATCTGATTCCTATTTTTAATTAAGAAAATGATTGATTTACACTTTCTACTTATTAGTTAAGATCATTAATTAAATTATCACATTCTTTATTTTTATTTTCAATGAATTCAATTAAACTATTGATTTTTTCAACATCATCAAAATGATCTTGATGGATTCTTCCTTTTTTTTAACATTTAAAACAATTTAATCTGAATTCTGTACAAAATTAATTATAACAAACTATGTCTATCTCATCTTAATGATCATCCTATTAACATTTTAACTTTAAATTCAATTACTAAATCATTTTTTATATTTTAT